GTTTGTTCTGCAAAGTTTGGTTTAAGTATAACAGAGTTATAGCCATCTATAAAAGTCCACGTGGTCTGATGGCAAGCAAAAATTCCAGAATAATGGCAATAACTGCTGTTTTGGAGGTAAAATGCAATTTATTGTATATCTATGCGTTGTTTACCGTGTATATGTATTTATTTTGAAGCACAAATCTCGTACTAAGAGTTGTTAAGAATGTACTTTTAAAAAGGTACCTAACAGGCCAGTAGCCAGCAATTTCAAGAGAGATCCCTTTTCTTAAAAAAAGGGACCTTTCTTCATGAAACCTTCGTGTACCTAGATAAAAATTTTACCCAGAGGGGACCTTTTTCCGGCAAAAGGGGATTCTTTCGAACACCCCGAGCCCCACTGCCTACAGGCCTGTCTGATGCTGCTTTTTATTTAAACACTTCAATCGCCCATTTCAGATAGGTAATAACTGAGTGCATTTCAACAAAAGTTAGAATATTTTGTTTTCTGTCCGATATATTGTACCATAATAAAGAAGGTAAAAAAAAAGATGAGACAAAGATTACAAAAAACGTTCCGCTCCTCCACAATCTATGAAGCTTGTGTCAAATGTATAACTATCCTTTGCAATGGATATGGGCCCACAACGTTTATTGCTTAATTTGGTCATATAATGGACCCTTTTTAAAGAAATGTACCTAGCCACCAACATTTCTAAAAAGAGGGAGATATGAAAAGAGATTCTATCAATTTTGAAAACATTCGTGTGATCAGATACATTAGGTTCTAGATTTCATGTATAACCCACGTAACTGTAAAGCTAACACATGGAAAATTATAATGAACAAGCTAGGCTCAGGATAGCGAACATATTGAATTAATGGGAACATATGATACTTGTACTGTTTGTTGGACATGAGGGTTTTATTTGTTTTGTGAAATAAACCGGTAGTGGTAATTTGTATGCGTTATTGTATTCTCCCTTGTTATGAATCTTAAAACTCATAACCCTCATTATACTGTATGTTACATTACCCGCATTACATGTTACAAAATGTATTATAATGAGTTCACTTGAATAAGGAAATGTAAACTTAATGAGACAAGGTCTGTTGCAAATATATGTCACACAAGAGAATATAATCAAGTTTTGGCTAGGTTAAACCATAAGCTTATGCTTTTTAAACGGGCATCTGATGTTGCTTTAACTCTTTAGTTTCATCTAGTATTTTTAAATTCTTTCACTAAGCTGAATTATTGAGTTGTTATCGTACAGAATACATATTATTTTCGATGGCAGCCAAGTACCAGGCGAGAGAGCTAGGAGAAAAGGAGGTGCGGCATAGATTGGAGAAAGAGTTCAGCACCTTGACAGTCTCTGAAGCTTATCGCAAATGTTTAGTTATTGTCAACAAAGGGTGAGTCTGCGTGATTAATTAGTCAATACATGTAACCCAGCAGTTCATTTGCTCAGAATTCAGCTTTCCATTTCACAACTTTTTTTTCCGGCAAGAATTTCAACTCAATTTCCTTTTTTTTTTTCAGAAAAGAAGAAAGTGGGAGAGGTGATTCACGCAACATCGAAACAATTTGGGTCAACAGCCTAAAGCTTACAGAACTTTCTTCACCAGTCCGAATGATGGATTTTGGGGGAGGTACTGGAGCCCCAATGTCAGCCATATGTAAAAGGATTAAAGAACTCAACAAAGATGTCATCGTCAGCGTGGAAGAACCTCATGAAGATTCTCTGGAGAAATACAAGAAATGCATCGAGAACTTGGAGAATGCTTATCTGGATGTGGCCTACTCTGGACGGTTCCAGGATTACTTCGGGAAGTCTGTGGAAGATCTGAAGTCCATTGGCGCGTATCCTGAAGAACAGCAGGACAGGGTGCTTGCTATACAATGTATGTATCATCTCACAAATTGGTTCGATCCTTCCTCTGATCCGTATGAAGACATCAGGCAAGCTGTCTTTGCCATGTATTCCATCCTCAAGCCAGGGGGGATGATGTTAATAGAGTTGGATAGTGGAGAAAACGCTTTTATGTGGAACATCTCTGTGGACTGTATTGAAATTCTTTTTCCTAATGATGTCATTTATCTAAAGAAGATAAATGAGGCTAGGCGCTCATTGCTATTTCAAGGGAGAATTGCAGATATTCTGAACGAGTCGTTCCCAGCTTTTAAAGCTTCTTTAAGTCACGAGGAGAAAAGCTTTGATGTAGTGCTTCCTTCACTAGCAGAGGTAGGAGTTGCAGCCTTCATTATCTATTTTGATGCTCGGACAGGAGACATGTCCAAGTTTGACCATCGTCATGTATCGTTTTTCATTGACTTTGTCCAGAGAGAGGGCACCAAGTATGGCCTTTCCCAAGAAGAGGATGGAATGTGGCGGCTGCCAAATGTTTCTCACTTTATTACTATTAAGAAAGCAAAAAAGGTTTGAAACATCTCCTCAACTTCCTGATTACCATAGACGTATTCGAACTTGTTCAAGCTTTACGGTTTTGGTATAGCGAATGGAGGCGAACTAGTTCTGTGGTTTTGTGCTACTATTCCTCGCATTGGTCGGAACCTTTCATGTCTTTACAATATACTGCAAAACCCTCTTATGGTGTCACGGCCTCGACATGAACTAAATAGTCATTTTATAATTAGTTTGAGTAATATCCTGTTATATCTATATGTACATATTGCTTAATTTTGTTACGCAATAAACTTAAATGCAAAGTTTAGTGACAAATTGACAAATGGTACTAGAATTAGTGTGATACTAGCATAAGTGTAGACGGAATTTCAATTTATTAGGTTAAATTTTACTGTTAATAAGGGAACACCATTAGCACATCCGAATAATCTTCCTCCTTTCTGGGTACTACAGGAGAAAGCTATTAAATATTATTATATTCATCCTGTGCTCATTTGGGATTTGTTTTCCTAAAGGTTGATTATTGTAAATATTCATCGAGTTAAATAGTGGGGACAACGCGTACATTTGGAATACCTCTGTCCATTGTTTGAAGACTTGCTTTCCTAATAAAGCCGATAACCTTACAAAGGTAGCGGAGGCTAGACGTTCTTTTGCTGCTTCAAGGGGAAATTGCCGATATTTTGAACGAATCATTCCCAACCTTTAAAGCTTCGATACGCCAGGAGGAGATGAGGTGTGATTTCTTGATTTCATCGCTGGCAGAGGTTGGTGCCTCGCTCCTGTCCACCTGTTTTCAAGGTTGGGCAGATGGATCATCCAAATTTGACCCTAGTGTGGTGTCATTTTGCATGGACTTCGTCCAGAGAGAGGGTAGGAAGTATGGCCTTTCCCAAGAAGAAGATGGAATGTGGCGAATGCCAAGTGTTACACACTTTATTACTATTAGGAAAGTCAAAGCTGATTAGGACTATTCGTATTTGTAAATAAAATGTTGTGAACGTTAAAAACTATTGCTATTATATTTCCTAATATTAATCAATGGTTTAAGGAACCAAATGGTATTCAATTAAGTGAGCCCAAAAGAATCTGGTGTGACAAAATGGTAGTACTAGGAAAGGAAGTCCTAATGTTCTGAGCTAACAAAAGAATGTCCAAAGAACGTTGAGACTCCAATCCCTCAACAAAGCAGTAATCGTCAGCGTGGAGGAACCTCATGAAGAGTCCCTGCATAAGTACAAAAATGCGTTGAGAACCTGGAAAACGCTAAGCTGGATGTGCCCTACTCTGGACGGCTCCAGGATTACTTTGGGAAGTCCATGGAAGAGCTGAAGTCCATTGGGGCGTATCCTGGAGACCAACAGGACAGGGTGCTTGCTTTAGATTCCATGTATCATCTTACACGTTGGTTGGATGATTTCTGTGACCCTCGGGAAGATATCAAGCGAGCTGTCTTTGCCATGTATACCATCCTCAAGCCTGGGGGGATGATATTAATACAGTTTAATAGTGGGGACAACGCATACATTTGGAACACCGCTGTGCACTGTTTTAAGATTTGTTTTCCTAATGAAGCCGTAAACCTAATGAAGGTAGTGGAGGCTAGAAGTTCTTTGCTATTTCAAGGGGAAACTGCCAATATTCTGAACTAATCATTTCCAACTTTAAAAGCTTCGATATTGCACGAGGAGGTGAGGTGTGATTCCGTGCTTCCATCGCTGGCAGAGATCGGTGCCTCGCTCCTTGCTGCCTATTTCCATGGTTGGGCAGATGACGCTGCCAAATTTGACCATTCTATGTTGTCATTTTGCATGGACTTCGCCAAGAGAGAGGGCAGGAAGTATTGCCTTTCCCAAGAAGAGGACGGAATGTGGCGGTTGCCAGATGTTCACACTTAATCACTTTTAAGAAAATCAAAGCTGATTAGGACAATTCTTATCTTTAAAGAAAGAATTGTGAAAGTATCAAAGAGTAGGGTTATTCTTATTCTTAACCAGGAAGCAATCAGATACATGTTTGGTTTAATCCTGTTGTGTTTATTTCTACTTTGATTTGTATATTTTATCCCATGCAATTCATTATCAAAAGGGTGGCAAATGCTCAAAATTATTTTGCATTTGTTCTGCATTTCTATTTTCTAAAATTTTTAACAGCACTTTCGTGATGGTACCTTTTTATATATTTCGCATTGCTCAGAGTTTGCTATTAGACGGAGTAAAATGTGGTAATTAAGGGTGAAACAATTAAGTACTTGTGTTCTGGGGGATAGCAGCTGCAGCGTTCATGTTGATAAAGTTACCATTGTTTTCACAAACAGAACTTAAAAACCAGACTGGCATCATTACCTTATGTGAATAAAATGTTTCTGTAGCTTATGGCTCCTTTTTGTAACACATTGATTTGAAAAAACACCTTTTTTACATACCGGTTTGGAAGTTTTGGGATAAAGAGACTCGATAACATTGCACAAACTTGGAATTTCTCTTCGGGACATTTTATTCAAATTTGAGACTTCAAATCTTGGCAAAGTAAGATTGCTTTATCCACATTGAAATTCAAAACATATACAAATGTCGAGCTCAAGTACAATATATGCCCCTCTAAATACAATTTAGATAGGTTCCGGTCAGTTCGTGTACCTAGACGCAATTTACCTGTATCTACAGATATTTTCACCCCTCAATACCTCAATGTACAGTGCAGATCGCGTGAATTAAAACATTTGAAATGTACATTTGATGGGCCTTTGTGTTTTCATAAATGGCAGAATTATATACATTCAATGTTGACGGGGTTGACCTTAAAGGGAAAAACAACAGTTCGTTTTGGACCAAAAACCGAATTTCATGAGGTAAGCTAATCCACGTTTTTTTTCTACAAAGTTTGGTTTTGGTATAAATGTGTTACAGTCATCTTTTAAAGTCCACGTGGTCTGATGGCAAGCAAAATTCCAGATAAATTTCAATAACTGCAGTTTTAGTGGTAAAATGAAATTCATTATATATCTATGAGTTGTTTACAATGTATTTACTGGGAAACATGAATGTCGTATGGAGAGTTGTTAAGAATTTACTTTTAAAAAGGTACCTAACGGGCCTGTAGCCAGCAATTTCAAAAGGGGGGCTCTTTTTCTGAAAAAATGAACCTTTTATCATGAAACCTTCGTGTACTTAGATAAAATTTTACCCAGAGGGGACATTTTCCCGAGCCCCACTGGCTACAGTCCTGTCTAACGCAGTTTTTTTTGTTAAAACACTTCACTTGCCTATTTTAGATAGGTAATAACCGAGTGCATTTCAACGAAAGTTAGAATATTTTGTTTTCTGTCCGATGGATTGTACCAGAATAGAGAAGAAGGTGAAAAAATAGATGAGGATTGGAAGAAAAGTTCAGCTCCTCCACAATCTGTGAAACTTGTTCAAGTGTAATTATCCTCCACAATGGATGAACCCACAGTATTTATTGCTTATTTTGGCCATATAATGGATCCATTTTAAAGAAATTTACGTAGCCACCAACATTTCTAGAAAGAGGGAGATATGAAAAGAGATTCTCTCAATTTCGAAACCATTTGTGAATCCATTTTTACATTTTTCAAAGTTAGTCCCTGTTTTTTCTAAAAAGCTTGTTTTTGTTTTTTAATGGCCTCTTAAGAGATCATTACAGAGTGTGAAATCGTTGAGACAGTGGAGAATATATGTAACTCATGCTTTATTTCAACGTTCAGTTCAGTTAACATTTTGCCATTCACATCTCTTATGTCGGTACTGCAAATGGACAAGTCAGCAAGGTACATAATCTAGGAAAGAAAACAATAAATAAATAAAATAAATAAAGGAAACTATATAAATACTTATACATGTACATCTGAACATTTAAATTACATACATCAAATACATAACCGTATTTTACTAGATATATTGAACATTACATTAAGTCGGCTTTATATAGCGAGACTTGAATCTGTTATCTATTCAATAAGCACAAATAATATGAAATTTACCTTATAATACAATTTCCATAATATAATTTTAATAAAAACGTTAAATACTGAATTACAGCAAGGCTTTACAGTTGACAATTATACTTATGCGTTCGCGTATTTTACATTTACTGTATTTCATACTAATGGCCACGCCCTACCAGGTGCTCTAGCTAATATACCAATATTTTACCTTTATCATTTATACAGAAAACTAATAAATACAATGCTCAAATATATTTTGATAAGATAAAGACTTACATTATGATTTCTCCGTAGAACTGTAACAATACACCATACAACGTTGGAAATAACGGTAAAATGCAGGAGAGACCCTACTTGTGCAAAATCCTGTAGCGTTATGACTCAGTTACATTCAAAACAGGCGCGCTACTCACGCAAGTCATGAAAACTACTCACACCTTGTATATCTAAAACAAGGAATCTAGCACTTACACCTTGTAAATCTAAAGCAAGGAATCTGGCACTTACACAGAGCATAGCCATCTAATGACAAGCACAGATTTCAGATCAATTGCAAAAGCTGTCGTTTTTTTGTGGTAAAATAAAATTAATTTTATTCCCATGAGATGTTTACAATGTATTTATTGTAAATATAAATCTCATACGAAGAGCTGTTATCCCTTTAAGGGGAACTTCTTTCCATTTCAAATTATGGATCTAGTGTTTGTACAGAAAGGCCACTCTCTGACCAACGTTTAAGCAATCATTTTTTTTCCAAAAATTATTAATAAAACAGTGTAATTTTGTATTCAATTTGAGCAGCCCTTGATACATGTATCAGAGGACAATAAAGGATACTAGAATAAGTTTAGGCGGGATTTCAAATGTTTTAGGTTAATTTGTTCTGTTAAATAAGGAGAACCATCTGCACATCCTCATCATCTTCCTCCTTTATGGCTACTGAATGAGCAGGCTATTCACATTTAAAAAAATCTTTCAGTGCTGTTTTGGGCTTCGTTTTCTAAAGGTCGTTCATTGTAAATACTTGACGCTTAATTACCTATTCAAAAACTTATTTCATTAGAACGATTTTATTTCAAAATCAGGTTAGGTTGCACTGTTTGCTGGACACGTGGGTTTTATTTGTGTTGTGTAAGAAACCGGTAGTGGTAATTTGTATGCGTTGCTGTATTCTCCCTTGTTATGAACCTTAAACGCATAACCCCAGTTATGCAGCAGTTACGTTACCCGCATTACATGTAACAGAATGTATTATAATGCAGATCACGTACATGTAAAGAAACTATTTATACCCATGGTAATTTAGACTTAATGAGACAAGCTTAGGTCTCTTGCAAATATAGGTCACACGAGATAATGTTATATAATCAAATGTGGTAATGTACTACTGCGGTGAAGAGTTATGCCTAATTTCTACTGAGATTTTGTGAAGCATGGTTATATATTGGTATATATTTTGGAAGAATTATCAGTCAGTTCACAGTATTTCCAATGGCAGCAAGCTACCAGACGAGAATTCGAGATGAAGAGGAGATGCGGCGTAGATTGGAAGAAGAGTTCAGCTCCTTGGCTAACGCTGAAGCGTATTACAAATGTGTAACTATTATCGAAAACGGGTAGGTGTAATCCAATAAAAAGCAGCTAATCATTTGTCATTTGTTAATCTTTTTCATTCATCAAGTATTTCAAGTCCTTATTATATCACTTTTCAGAGAGGATGAAGGTAAGAAACGCAGCTTAACGGACTTTGATACCATTCGCGAGAACATCCTGAACCTATCAGGACTTCCTTCACCCGCCCGAATAATGGATTTTGGGGGAGGTACAGGAATCCCCATGTCAGCCATTTGTAAAACACTCCAAGCCCTCAACAAAGATGTAATCGTCAGCGTGGAAGAACCCCATGAAGAGTCGTTGCAGAAGTACAAGGAATGCGTTGAGAACCTGGAAAATGTTAAGCTGGATGTGGCCTACTCTGGACGGTTCCAGGATTACTTCGGGAAGTCTGTGGAAGACCTTAAGTCCATTGGAGCGTATCCTGAAGAACAACAGGACAGGGTGCTTGCTTTACATTCCATGTATCATCTTACACGTTGGTTGGATGATTTCTGTAACCCTCACGAAGACATCAAACGAGCTGTCTTTGCCATGTATACCATCCTCAAGCCTGGGGGGATGATATTAATACAGTTTAATAGTGGGGACAACGCATACATTTGGAACACCGCTGTGCACTGTTTTAAAGCTCGTTTTCCTAATGAAGCCGTAAACCTAACGAAGGTAGCGGAGGCTAGAAGTTCTTTGCTTATTCAAGGGGAAATTGCCGATATTCTGAACGAATCATTTCCAACCTTTAAAGCTTTGATATGGCACGAGGAGATGAGGTGTGATTTCGTGCTTCCATCGCTGGCAGAGGTCGGTGCTTCGGTCCTGGCCATCTATTTCCATGGTTGGGCAGATAACGCTTTTAAATTTGACTCTAGTGTGTTGTCATTTTGCATGGACTTCGTCCAGAGAGAAGGCAGGAAGTATGGCCTTTCCCAAGAAGCAGACGGAATGTGGCGGATGTCAAATGTTACACACTTAATCACTATTAAGAAAGTCAAAGCTGATTAGGACTATTCTAAGGACTATTTTAAAGAAAGAACTGTAAAAGTAACAAAGTGTAGGGTTATTCTTATTCTTAATCAGGAAACCAACGACACATTACATGGTGTACTGGTCACATGGGATACATGTTAAGTTTTATCCTGTTGTGCTTAATCCTGCAGTTTTGTATATTATTTCTATGGAAATCATTATCAAAAGAGTGACAAATGCTAATTTGTTGTGCACTTTTCTCAAATGCATGATAGCACTATTATGATGGTACATTTTAAAATATATTTCACATTGTTCAAAGTTTGTACATGGAGTAAAACGCAGTACTGTAATGTGAAATTATAAAGAACACGTGATCTTGGATATTAGGGCATCTCGGCGTTCATATTGATAAAACTTATCATTTTCAATGATATATTATTCAGTTCACATGACGGACTTTTTATTTACTTTACATTGGCATTAAAACAGTCACAATAAGAACTTTCAAACCAGACTGGGTCAAAACATTATATGAATAAAATGTGACTCCTTCTTGTGACTCATCTCCCTTTCCTGTCAAACCGCAGACAAACGGCTTAGCGTTGGAAGGAAACTGTTATAACAGTACTAAACTGTGTAAAGTGGAGTAGTTCTTGACAACTCCACCTCTAGCAAATCAGGGCCCCGTATCTCGAAAGCAACGAGCATTGCGACCGAGCGCAGGCGTCTCGATTCCATAACTCGCCCATACTCGCCCCATATAATACCTTGTAGCCTCTATGTCATATCGCTATTCGCAATACGCGATGCGCTCGAGATACGGGGCCAGTTCAGCTAGTCTTTGACCCAGAATGTCACTATGTATGTAGGGGAGTCCGGGGCTTGTTGGACCTCAGGGCANCACATTCCATCCCCTTCTTGGGAAAGGCTGTACTTGCTGCCTTCTCTCGGGACGAAGTTCATGCAGAATGACAACATACGATGGTCAAATTTGGAGGTGTCTCCTGTCCGACCGTCAAAATAGGTAAAGAAGGATGAGACCCCTGTCTCTGCAAGTGAAGGAAGCACAAAATCACACCTCCCCTCCTCTCCCCTCCTCGTGACTTATTGAAGCTTTAAATTTTAGAAATGATTCGTTCAGCATATTCACAATTTTATGAATATTCAAAATTATGGCGTTCCATAATTTTTTTCTTTGCTTATAAAAGTATGAATATTTGTTCTAAGTTACCCAAATATAGTTTAGACCTTTAAATAGCAAAAATCAATTTAATGTCAACAATTAATAGCCAATTGATACCATATTTGAAGCTACTCGCAAAATCATAAACTATGATCAAGCTGTAGAGCTCATGCAGTTTCTAAAGCTATATATCAGAGAATCTTCTGTATTTTGCAATACAAGATATTGCATTTGAAGTATGGAAGAGGTATAATCTACATTCATTATGCATCACTGTAGTAGTAAATTACAGTACAATGCGGAATATAAGAGTGCATTCCCATAGATTTAGATCGATCCATCTAAATTGACCTAACTCCCTGGGGGTTCACGCTAAATTGATGTCAGCCGGGCGCGCACGGTAGTTAATTACCCCCTTACAGCTTTTAGTAGGCGGGACAGACGCTTTAGCCGGCTAAGTTGACTGTAATCTAGTGAGACTCCCCACAGGGATAGATCGATCTAAAATCTGTGGGAATGGGGTCTAAGTAACTTACTGGACAAAAGTATGACTCTGCTGCAAGTATGCTTCTTGGTGAAGCAGAAACGTTTGACAGCAGCGTTCTACTTTATACACACTTTGAATCGAAGAAAATATAAAGTAGCGTGGTTTAAGAACAAGTGGTACGTTGCTTTTCTACTTCTCAAAGTCTGTCACGGATTCTGTATCCTCAACTTAGAAACGACTTTGTTAACTTCAAAACATTACAACTACCACACACACACACAAAAAAAGGAGAATTTATAATTAGTGCATTAATATGTTTCTGTGTTTTTTCTACCCCTATGTTTGTTAAAAGCTGCGTTCACATTAAAACTCTCTAGTACGATAATTTTATTGTGAACGCACCCATAGTTGTTTATACTCTTTAGTCGACTGTTTGGTATGCTACTGGCATCACCAAAAGTGTGTCAATCTCGGCGTTTACCATTCAGAACACTTCATCTGTTACATCATTACTTCATTACATTACAGATCACGCACTATAAGACATGATACTAATACACAGGTACATACATGCGCTTGAAGGAACTAACGGTAGTGAATATGGTGGTTCTATTAATGCGTCATTAACTGAAGAAATTTGAGAAAGTGCCTGATTCTGCATCTATGTACATTTTTGTAGAGTTATCGGGCAGAACACACTGCAACATATCCCAATGGCAGTAAGATTTCAGACAGGAAAACGAGATGAACAGGAGATGCGGCGTAAACTGGAAGAAGAGTTCAGCTCCTTGGTTAACGCTGAAGCTTATAACAAATGTGTAACTATTATCAGCAATGGGTAGGTGTTCCCCAATAATAAATCAATTAATCATTTGTCATTTGTTACTATTTTTTCATTTATTAAGTATTTCACGTTCTTAACTTTCAGAGAGGAAGAAAGTAGAAAACGTGGATTAACGTACTTTGATACCATTCGTGAGAACATCCTGAACCTATCAGAACTGCCTTCAACAATCCGAATTATGGATTTTGGGGGAGGTACAGGAACCCCTATATCAGCCATTTGTAAAACACTCCAAGCTCTCAACAAAGATGTCATCGTCAGCGTGGAAGAACCTCACGAAGAGTCGTTGCAGAAATACAAGAAATGCATTGAGAACTTGGAGAATGCTAATCTGGATGTGTCCTACTCTGGACGGTTCCAGGATTACTTCGGGAAGTCTGTGGAAGAGCTGAAGTCCATTGGGGCGTATCCTGAAGAACAACAGGACAGGGTGCTTGCTTTACATTCCATGTATCATCTTACACGTTGGTTGGATGATTTCTGTGACCCTCAGGAAGACATCAAACGAGCTGTCTTTGTCATGTATACCATTCTCAAGCCCGGGGGAATGATATTAATACAGATTAATAGTGGCGACAATGTTTTTATTTGGAACACCGCTGTGCATTGTTTTAAGATTTGTTTTCCTAATGAAGCTGTAAACCTAATGAAGGTAGCGGAGGCTAGAAGTTCTTTGCTTTTTCAAGGGGAAATTGCCGATATTCTGAACGAATCATTTCCAACCTTTAAAGCTTCGATATGGCACGAGGAGGTGAGGTGTGATATCATGATTCCATCGCTGGCAGAGGTTGGTGCTTCGATCCTAGCCGCCTATTTCCACGGTTGGGCAGATGACACTTCCAAATTTGACCCTAGTGTGTTGTCATTTTGCATGGACTTCATCCAGAGAGAGGGCAGGAAGTATGGCCTTTCCCAAGAAGAAGACGGAATGTGGCGGATGCCAAGTGTTACCCACTTTATTACTATTAAGAAAGTCAAAGCTGATTAGGACTATTCCTATAGTATTTAATTTAAAAGCTGTGAACGTTTAAAAGTATAGGGCTATTCCTATCCATAATATTAATCAGGAAGGCATCGACACATGACATGGTGTGCCGATACTACATGTAGACACATAAGATACATGTTTAGTTTTATCCTGTGGTGCTTATTCCTGCTGTTTTGTATAGCTTTTTCCATGCAAATACTAACTAAAAGGTGGCAAATGCTCAAAAATTATTTTCAATTTGTTCTGCATTTTTATTTTTTAAATGAATGATATCACCATCATGATGGAACTTTTTTTTTTTTATACATTTCACATTGTTTGTACACGGAGTAAAACGACGTAATTTGATGTGAAATAATAAAGCACACGTGTTCTGGGATATTAGGGCAGCTCGGTGTTCATATTGATAAAAGTTACCATTTTCAATAATATCTTATTCAGTTCACATGACGGACTTATTTACTTTACTTTGGCATTAGAACAGTCACTTTCAGAACTTTCAAACCAGATTGGATCATTACCTAATATGAATAAAATGTGACCCCTTTTTGTGACATAGCTTCTATTTTTGTTATACGGAAGTTTGCTTTTAAGTTAACAATTGAAGTTAGTCATACAACAAGTATAACCTGACTTCCACCAAGCTGCAGGTGACGCCATTTCAGACCGAAAAGACACTGGTCTTAGGAACCAAATGGTATTCAATTAAGAAGGCCTCAGTGAATCTGATTTGACAAAATGGTAGTAGGGCCTACTAGTAATGGAAGTCCTTACAAAAGAATGCTCTGAGCTAAAAAAAGAATGTTCTAAGACCGTTGAAGGAACGTAAAGTTTATGTAAACATTAGAAATGACGTTTGGCAAACGTTTTCCGTGAAAGTTTCCTCAATGTTTTAGGAATGTTTTTGGAAACGTTACACAATATCACTTAAAGAACATGTAGAGAACATTTTAAAATATGTAAAAAATAGGACTATATAGGCCTGTACTGTATATCACCATTGTATTTATCTATTAAGTAGGATGTTTATTTTGTTTCATTTCATTTATCGTTAACTTATCCTTGTTAAGTCTACTGATCATTTTAAAATGATTTTAGACTTCAAATACATATAATTAACCCCAACTCTTAGTTTGAAATTAGGCAACGTTTCTCGGAGCAATGACAGTGTAGAACGATAATATAACGTCTACGTCAAGTTTGCTGATGGGCTATCCAATACATAACCCTGTGGTAACGTTATCAAAACGTTCTGTGTAAGCTGGGTTGTGGTTAGCTGGAGCGTTGGAGTTAATTCATGTCACCTGGGCAAAGTAATGAGGAATGAAATACTGTTCCTTGTGGACTACCATTCCTGTCAAACCAACATTGACAAAAACCTTGGTGTTTGAAAGCAAACTGTTATTTCAGTGATTGCGGTGAAGCATTATGCCTAATTTCTACTGAGATTTTGTGAACCATGGTTATAGAAGAATGATACATCTGGGGAGTATATACCTCAACTGTCCCTTAAAGGTTTTGAGGCATGGTGCCAGTGTGAAGTGGGTCAACTGTGCTGGAGCATCTACTGCGCTTTCATGCGGGTACCACCACAAAAATACAGGAAATACATGGAATGAAAATTGTGTCAGGATATCGTCTACAAAGCGGGCTGTCTAAGGTTGCCTTAACATTTCACTTTTTGAATTGAGTAGACGTTTATAAAAGGGGTTTGAACTTGAATTTTGAAGTGTGTATCCCAGCATATTTTGGAAGAATTATCAGTCAGTTCACAGTATTTCCGATGGTAGCCAACTACCAGACGAGAAATCGAGATGAACAAGAGATGCGGCGTCGATTGGCAGAAGAGTTCAGCTCCTTGGCTTACGCTGAAGCTTTCAACAAATGTGTAACCATTATCGACAGTGGGCAGGTGTACTCCAATAATAAATCAATTCATCATTCGTCATTTGTTAATCTTTTTTCATTCATCAAGTATTCCAACTCCTCACCTTTTCAGAGTGGAAGACGGTAAGAAACGCGGCTTAACGGACTTAGATACCATCCGTGAAAAGATCCTAACCTATCAGGACTTCCCTCACCCGTCCGGATTATGGATTTTTGGGGAGGTACAGGAACTCCCATGTCAGCCATATGTAAAAGACTCCAAGCCCTCAACAAAGATGCCATCGTCAGTGTGGAAGAACCTCATGAAGAGTTCGTGCAGAAATACAAGAGATGCATCGAGAACTTGGAGAATGCTACTCTGGATGTGGCCTACTCTGGGCGGTTCCAGGATTGCTTCTGGAAGTCTGTGGAAGAGCTGAAGTCCATTGGGGCGTATCCTGAAGAACAACAGGACAGGGTGCTTGCTTTACATTCCATGTATCATCTTACACGTTGGTTGGATGATTTCTGTGACCCTCAGGAAGACATCAAACGAGCTGTCTTTGTCATGTATACCATTCTCAAGCCCGGGGGAATGATATTAATACAGATTAATAGTGGCGACAATGTTTTCATTTGGAACACCGCTGTGCATTGTTTTAAGATTTGTTTTCCTAATGAAGCCGTAAACCTAATGAAGGTAGCGGAGGCTAGAAGTTCTTTGCTATTTCAAGGGGTAATTGCCGATATTCTGAACGAATCATTTCCAACCTTTAAAGCTTCGATATGGCACGAGGAGGTGAGGTGTGATATCATGATTCCATCGCTGGCAGAGGTTGGTGCTTCGATCCTAGCCGCCTATTTCCACGGTTGGGCAGATGACACTTCCAAATTTGACCCTAGTGTGTTGTCATTTTCATGGACTTCATCCAGAGAGAGGGCAGGAAGTATGGCCTTTCCCAAGAAGAAGACGGAATGTGGCGGATGCCAAGTGTTACCCACTTTATTACTATTAAGAAAGTCAAAGCTGATTAGGACTATTCCTATAGTATTTAATTTAAAAGCTGTGAACGTTTAAAAGTATAGGGCTATTCTTATCCATAATATTAATCAGGAAGGCATCGACACATGACATGGTGTGCCGATACTACATGTAGACACATAAGATACATGTTTAGTTTTATCCTGTGGTGCTTAATCCTGCTGTTTTGTATAGCTTTTTCCATGCAAATACTAACTAAAAGGTGGCAAATGCTCAAAAATTATTTTCAATTTGTTCTGCGTTTTTATTTCTTAAATGCATGATATCACCATCATGATGGAACTTTTTTTATACATTTCACATTGATTGTACACGCAGTAAAACGCCGTAATTTAATGTGAAATTATAAAGTACACGTGTTCTGGGATATTAGGGCAGCTCGGTGTTCATATTGATAAAAGTTACCATTTTCAATGATATCGTATTCAGTTCACATGACGGACTTATTTACTTTACATTGGCATTAGAACAGTCACATTTAGAACTTTCAAACCAGATTGGATCATTACCTAATATGAATAAAATGTGACACCTTTTTGTGACATAGCTCCTATTTTTGTTATATGCAAGTTTTCTTTTAAGTTAACAATTGAAGTTAGTCATACAACAAGTATAACCTGACTTCCACCAAGCTGCAGCTGACGCCATTTCAGACCCAAATGACACTGGTCTTAGGAACCAAATGGTATTCAATTAAGAAGGCCTCAGTGAATCTGATTTGACAAAATGGTAGTACTAGTAATGGAAGTCCTTACAAAAGAATGTTCTGAGATAACAAAAGAATGTTCTAAGACCGTTGAAAGAACGTAAAGTTTATGTAAACATTAGAAATGACGTTTGGAAAACGTTTTCCGTGAAAGTTTCCTTAATGTTTTAGGAATGTTTTTGGAAACGTTACACAATATCATTTAGAGAACCCGTAGAGGACATTTAAAATATGTAAAATAAGTAGGGCCATATGGCCCTGTACTGTATAGCACCAGTGTATTTGTCTATTAAGTAAGTTGTTTATTTTGTTTGATTTCATCTATCTTATTTTGTGAATTTATACTTGTAATGTTTTAGGTATGATTTTGGAAACGTTACACAATATCACTTTAAGAACATGTAGAGAACATTTTAAAATATGTAAAAAATAGGACTATATAGGCCTGTACTGTATATCACCATTGTATTTATCTATTAAGTAGGATGTTTATTTTGTTTCATTTCATTTATCGTTAATTTATCCTTGTTAAGTCTACTGATCATTTTTAAATGGTTTTAGACTTCAAATATGCTACAAATAACTAACCCCAACTCTTAGTTTGAAATTAGGCAACGTTTCTCGGAGCAATGACAGTGTAGAACGATAATATAACGTCTACGTCACGTTTGCTGATGGGCTATCCAATACATAACCCTGTGGTAACGTTATCAAAACGTTCTGTGTAAGCTGGGTTGGGGTTAGCTGGAGCGTTGGAGTTAATTCATGTCACCTGTACAAAGTAATGGGGAATGAAATACTGTTCCTTGTGGACTACCATATTCCTGTCACACCAACATTGACAAAAACCTTGGTGTTTGAAAGCAAACTGTTATTTCAGTGATTGCGGTGAAGCATTATGCCTAATTTCTACTGAGATTTTGTGAACCATGGTTATAGAAGAATGATACATCTGGGGAGTGTATACCTCAACTGTCCCTTAAAGGTTTTGAGGCATGGTGTCAGTGTGAAGTGGGTCAACTGTGCTGGAGCATCTACTGCGCTTTCATGCGGGTACCACCACAAAAATACAGGAAATACATGGAATGAAAATTGTGTCAGGATATCGTCTACAAAGCGGGCTGTCTAAGGTTGCCTTAACATTTCACTTTTTGAATTGAGTAGACGTTTATAAAAGGGGTTTGAACTTGAATTTTGAAGTGTGTATCCCAGCATATTTTGGAAGAATTATCAGTCAGTTCACAATTTTTCCGATGGCAGCCAACTACCAGACGAGAAATCGAGATGAACAAGAGATGCGGCGTCGATTGGCAGAAGAGTTCAGCTCCTTGGCTAACGCTGAAGCTTTCAACAAATGTGTAACCATTATCGACAGTGGGCAGGTGTACTCCAATAATAAATCAATTCATCATTCGTCATTTGTTAATCTTTTTTCATTCATNGTCTACGTCACGTTTGCTGATGGGCTAACCAATACATAACCCTGTGGTAACGTTATCAAAATGTTCTGTGTAAGCACGGTTGGAGTTACCAGGAGCATTGGGGTTAATTAATGTCACCTGGGCAAAGTAATGAGGAATGAAATACTGCTCCTTGCGGACTACCATTCCTGTCACACCAACATTGACAAAAACCTTGATGTTTGAAAGCAAACTGTTATTACAGTAACCTGTTCCCCCACATGATTAAGTCTTTGAAATAGAAATTAAGTAGACGAAAACGCGCTGGTAATATTCGCAATGTTTTGCAGCAGATTTGAAGCAGGATAGAGATGCTGTGAAAATTACCAATTGAAAAGAGGCTAACCTATAGGCCTACTTATCAAAGTAGAAGGTTGCTGTATTTTTACTTCACTTTACGACGCATATATAAAGAAGAAGGCTGCTTCCGCAAGGCATGCTGCTTCGAAACTGCTGCACTCAGAGTATAAATGTGGTAA